CCGCCCGCCTGTCTCTCGGTGGGTCCGGGCCGGCCGGTTTCACAAGTTTGACAGTTTGGGCGAGGGCAGCAGCGCGGGGCCGGCAGTGTCGCCGCCATGTCCCGGGCGCCCGAGGAGGTGAGCCGCCTCACCGAGAGCACCTACAAGGTGAGTTCGGCCCCGCGTAGACAACCCCTCACCCCGGCCGCGCTGGCGCAGCCGCTCCGCGTCGTGCCGCCCTGGGACCGTGGCTCGCATGAGCAGAGAGGGGCTGGCAGCTCCCCACCCTGGAGCAAGGGTTTGTTAGTCCTCGTCCTGCACGGCGAGACGAGGAGGTGTTTTTTCACTGTTTTGAAAACTTTTACTGGATGTCTAGTCATCGTTATTCCCATCCAACAAGCGAGCGGCGTGTATTGGGCAGACCGGTTCTTTGGGGAGATGTGATGTCTTTTATTAGTTAGGGGGAAAAGTCCTTAGGAAGCTTTCGGGCGCCTGAAGTATTTTTAATTTATGTCTTGTTACTGTTATGACTCGCAAGTCACCCAGGTGTTTCGGTGTTGTCTTGGCTTAAAAAAACGAAACAAAACACTAATTTGGACAAAGTATGGACTCCTGGGAGGAGTATCAGGTTATTTGTGTGTAAATAGAGACAGGACAAGCTAGATAAATTGCAGAAGAGCGAGCGTCTGACACAGGGTCTTGTGTATATGACCTAACAGTTCCTATCACAGTCAAATCAGCAAGCCCTTTAGTCAGAGGAGAAGTCCTATTGCTAATAGGGTTACTGCCTTTGAGTCAGGGTTTGCAGGATGGCCGTGCTGCCAAGTATTTGTCGGGTGATTGGTTGTAGCCATGTTGGTCTAAGGACAGAGGCAGGCAACGATCCTCGGGGTAGGTGGGATATCTGTTAGACAGACTAGTATCATCCCTCTAAATACAGTTTTTAAAACCTGCTCAGTTTTTAAAAACTACTGTAGTTCGTGTGCACATGCATGTCGCATTAACAAATACTCTTGTAAAACAGGGACCAGGATTGACGCCACCAGCAAAAGCCAGACAATACAAAGTTAATGTTGATCCTGTGATAAAATGTCTTGTACTTTGGTATCTTGAGAGGTTTAGTATGTTTGTGGCATCTTATCCTATTAGGTCTAAAAGGCCTGGGAACGAGTTCCTGCTGTGCCATCACCGTGATTAAGGGTTGAAACTTATCTAGACATGGCGCCTAAGCGCTGTTTGAATATACTGAGTATTGTGATTTGTTTGGGGTCATTTGTTTTAAGTCTGCATGTGCCTGCAGTGCAGACTGCAGTATGCAGGTACCCAAGTTAGCTTTAAATAAGAGTGGTGGTACTGGGATTTTGGAGCTCCACATAGGTGAAGTTACTTCTGAGTAAGACAGGGAATGTTAATTTGTGGGGCCCATGTACTCCAGGCTAGAGAGCAACTGGTACCTGAGCAGTAGGCGCTCTCTCTCACTATGCTGCTGTGATGGGTCACAAATGAGCACAGCAGTGAAATACTAGTCTCAATGACTTCACTGAAGTCAGCAGTTACAGTATTTGTATTCCCCAATCTGTAAGAAGAAATGCTGGTTCTGGAGGAGTCAATTTGGTGTAGCATAACAATGGGGTAAAACTGACATGGGACTTGAAAGCTTACTACTGGTCCTCAGTCTTAAAAGATATGCAACTTGAGGGCAACTTGGAAAATAGAAAGGGAGGAGCAATGTTTCCTTTACTCAGCTGCTTCTTTCTCTACCCTCCCTGCAGTTTAACATCAGTATCTATGTGCTGGATGTCCTTAACTATATATTTATACACATTGTATGAAGCTTTTAAATATACTTATGCAAAATAAACACCCCAAAACAGTTCCATTAACATTATTACTACAATGCCATCCTAAAATAAAAAATGCTTAAACTCTTGAACTAAGTACAGATAGTCCAAAAGCCCGAGGCTGAATCAGTTCAATCTTTATAGGTTAATCTAAGCTGTATTTACTGGACTGATAAACAAGTGAAAGGATATTCACTTTTGATTCCGGAAATTCAGCCACATGTCCGCACTAGCCCAAGCCAAAACCTGGAGGGTGTGGGGAGGCGCAAAGCATGCTGGGGTGC